ACCTACAACAATAGGCCACCCTAGGAAGCCCAGGAGACACAGCAACTCTACCTAATACATAGAAACAAATACAGGGAGGCAGCCAAAATTAGGAGTCAGAGAAACATGTCCCAGATGAAAGAACGGAACAAAACTCCAGGAAAAACACTAACTAAAATGGAGATAAGCAATCAATCAGATACAGTGTTCAAAACACTAGTTATAAGGACACTCAATGAACTTAGTAAGGGCCTCAAGAGCATAAAAAAGGACCAGTCTGAAATGAAGGAGGCACTAACTGAAATAAAAAATAATTTACAGCCCTGGCCGGTTTGGCTCAGCGGTTAGAGTGTCGGCCTGCGGTCCGGAGAGACCCGGGTTCGGTTCCCGCTGAGGGCATGTGCCTCGGTTGCAGTTTGTCCCCAGCCCTGGTCGGTCGTGCGCAGCCACTCGAAGTGTTCCTTTCACATCGATGTTTCTCTCTCTCTCTCTGTTCCTCTCTCTCCCTCCCACTCTACCTGAACCAAAAAAAAAAGGGAAAATGTCCTCGGGCGAGGATAAAATAATTAATTTATTTAATTAATTAATTAAATAATTAATTAAAAAATAATAATTTACAGCCCTGGCCTGTTTGGCTCAGTGCTTACAGCGATGTCCCGTGGACCAATGAGTCTTGGGCACATATCTTGGTTGCTGTTCATCCCCGGCCCTGGTCGGTGTTGTGCGGGAGGCAGCCAATGTGTCCCTTTCACATCAATGTTTCTCTCCCTCCCACCACTCTATCTGAAGATAAATAGAAAAATATTCTCGATGAGGATTAAAAGAAAAAATTTACAGGGAATCAATAGTAGAGTAGGTAAAGCCAAGAAGCAAATCATCTATTTGGAATACAATCAGGCCCTGGCTAGTTTGGCTTAGCAGTTAGAGTGTCAGCCTGCGGACCAATGAGTCTCGGGTTCAATTCTGGTCAGAGGCATGTACTTCAGTTGCAGTTCAGCCCCAGCCCTGGTTGGGTCATGCGGGAGGCAACCAGTTGATGTGTCTCTCTCGCATCGATGTTTCTCTTGCCCTACCCCCACCCTCTCTCTCTCTCCCTCCCTCCTTCCTCCCTCCCACTCTACCTGATGATAGATGAGAAAAAATCCTCAGATGAGGATTTAAAAAAAAAGCCCAATCAGAACAGCAAAAAGGAAAAAAAAATTTTTTTTAATGAGGACAGTGTAAGGAACCTCTGGGACAACTTCAAGGGTAGCAATATTTGCATCATGGGGGTGCCAGAAGGAGAAGAGAGAGAGAGCAAGAAATTGAAAACATATTTGAAAAAAATAATGACAGAAAACTTCCCTAACTTGGTGAAGGAAACACATACAAGTCCAGGAAGCACAGAGTCCCAAACAATATGAACCCCACAAGGCCCACACCAAGACACATCATCATCAAAATGCAAAAGGTTAAAAATAAAGAGAAAATCCTAAAAGCAGCAAGAGAAAAGCAGTTAGTTACCTACAAGGAAGTTCCCATAAGACTGTCAGCTGATCTCTCAAAAGAAACTTTGCAGGCCAGAGGGAGTGGCAATGAATATTCAAGGTGATGAAAGGCAAGAACCTACAACCAAGATTACTCTACCCTGCAAAGCTGTCATTTAGAATCAATGGACATATAGAGTTTCCCAGACAAGAAAAAGCTAAGGGAGTTCATCACCATCAAAACAGTATTATATGAAATGTTGAAGGGTCTTCTTGAAGATGAAGATCAAAAATATGAACAAAAAACATGGCAATAAATACATATCTATCAACAATTGAGCCCTGGCCGGTTTGGCTCAGCGGTTAGAGCGTCGGCCTGCGGTCCGGAGAGACCCGGGTTCGGTTCCCGCTAAGGGCACGTACTTCGGTTGCAGTTTGTCCCCGGCCCCGGTTGGTCGTGCGGGTGGCAGCCACTCGATGTGTCCCTTCACGTCGATGTTTCTCTCTCTCTCTCTCTCTCTTCCTCTCTCTCCCTCCCACTCTATCTGTACAAAAAATGGAAAAATATCCTCGGGTGAGGATTAAAAAAAAAAAATTGACTCCACAAACAAAATGAACAAGCAGAACAGAAACGGACTCATAGATACAGAGAACTTTTTGTTGGTTGCTAGATGGGAGGAGGGGTTGTTGGGGGTTGGAGGTGAAGGAATTAAGAAGTCCTAATTGGTTGTTAGACTGATGAACCTCAAAAGGAAGGAGGTTGGAGGGGTTGGGAAGAGATAGACCAAAGGACTTATATGCATATTTGCATAACCAATGGGCACAGACAATAGTGTGGGAAAGGCCAGAGAGGGGGCGGGAGCAGGGAGGAGGGGGTCAATGGGGAAAAAAGGGGGGACATCTGCAATACATTCAATAATAAAGTTTAAATAAATAAAATAAAAATAAAATGAAATCACCCTGACAGGTTTGGCTCAGCGGTTAGAGTGTCGGCCTACAGTCCAGAAAGACCCGGGTTCGGTTCCCGCTAAGGGCACGTACCTGGGTTGTAGTTTGTCCGCTGCCCTGGTTGGGGTCGTGTGGGAGGCAGCCACTCGACATGTCCTTTTCATGTCGATGTTTCTCTCTCTCTTCCTCTCTCTCCCTCCCACTCTATCTGAACAAAAAATTGGAAAAATGTCCTCAGGTGAGGATAAAAAATAAATAAATAAATAATTAAGCAAAATGGATTCAATATTAATACCTGATAGTATAGATACCCCAAAATGGAATATGACATAGTATTTAAAAATAACGCTTCCGATGACTGCAGAACATGGCAGATGCCTAGGGTATGTTACTTGGTAAAGCCAGATGTAAAATGCGTGGCCGCGGTGATTACCGTTTCTATGACTGTGATGGTGGTTTACATTTCTGAGGCTTCAAGGGAAACAGTGAAATGCAATAGTGGGTGTGTTCAGACAGCAAGGAAATTTGTTTTGTGCTTTTTAACCTCTAGTTTCAAAATCAGAATGTTATGTTCTTTTTCTAATGAAAAAAAATACATAGCTTTTATTTTATTTTTTTATCCTCACCTGAGGACATTTTTGCATTTACTTTCAGGAAGAGCAGGAGGGAGAGAGGAAGGAAGAGAGAGAGACACATCGACTGGTTGCCACCGCATGACCCCAACCGGGGCCGGGGACAAACTGCAACCAAGGTACGTGCCCTTAGCGGGAACCGAACCCAGGACTCTCTGGTCCACGGGCTGATGCTCTAACCGCTGAGCCATACTGGCCAGGGTCATAGCTTTTACTTTAAAGGAACATACAAGAAAGTGAGAGGTGGATTAGATATGTGTCTCCCAGGTGTTCAGGGTCAGGCTGAAGGAAAGAGAGGGAGGGGGTGTCCAAGAGAAGATTGCTGTCTTTTCATTTTGCCAGGTTCGGGACATCTACAAATAATAATTAATAATGTAATAAAGGAAAGGCCATTTTAACACCAAAAAGTAGGATGGACCAGTTTTGCTGTCATGTTCCCAGTTCTTCGTTTTGCTGAGGACCTGGGACCCCGTGGTGGCCAGCTCTGGCTGCCAGAGTTCGGGCCCTTGTGCCCAGATGAGCCAGGCCAGGGCCAGGAGCCCCAGCCCCAGCTGTCCCAACAGGCCCTGGGCGTCTGAGGCGGGGGCCCCCACCGTCCACAAGCAGACGGAGGAGGTCTCGGTACCGTTTCCAGAACTTTGGAGAGCGGTGCTGCTTCTTCCCTGGGGATCCCGTCTAGTCACTGACATCTGCGGTTAATAGAGCCTGTGGCTCGGTTTCCAATCTCTGAGCTCCTGAGGAGACGCCTGGTGAGGAGGCTGTGCCCACTCTAGCACAGTGAAGAGTGTGTCGACTCTCCCTGGGCCGGAGACTGTGTTCCCAGTTCTTAGACAGTCACAGTCATCCCCACGGAGATGTCGCTGTCCACGCCCCTTCGCCCTGGCGCCTGAAGAAAGAGGAGCCTCGCGGCGCTACCGTGGGGTCACCGCCATCTGGGCCACACCTGCCCAGGAAACCGGGAGGAGACACCTCGGCCCTTTGCCCAGTTCCCTTTAGGCACCTGGTGGGTTGTGGACGAGGGCGAGCCGATGGCTGGAAGGGCCAAGTCCTCACACGGAAGGGGCCCGCCCTGTCTTCTCCGTGAAGCCACCATGCCCTCCTCCAGCCGGCAGTGACCCTTGAACCCAGCGGTGCCGTCAAAGCGCCAGGCGCCTTTCAGAAGCAGAGCCCGAGTCTCCAATTCTAGGCCAGGTTGGGTCTGGGATGTTTGAAAACACCTGCAGGGGATTCCATTGCCCGACAGGCGTGGGAACGCGTTCTGATGGGTCCTGTAGGGGGTGTCAACGAGGGCCCAGGTGGGACTCTTGTTTGTTCACTTAATGACATAAGTGAGCTCAGCCAGGGTGGGTCTGTTGGTTGAGTCTCGTCTTGTGCACCAAAAGGTTGCTGGTTCAATTCCTGATCAGATCGATGTTTCTCTCTCGCTCCCTTTGTCTCTAAGCATGTCCTGGGGGAGGATTTATTATTATTTTTTTTTTTTTTCTTTTTTTTTTTTTTTTTTTTTAATCCTCATCCGAGGACATTTTTCCATTTTTTGTACAGACAGAGTGGGAGGGAGAGAGAGGAAGAGAGAGAGAGGGAAACATCGATGTGAAAGGGACACATCGAGTGGCTGCCACCCGCACGACCAACCAGGGCCGGGGACAAACTGCAACCGAGGTACATGCCCTTAGCGGGAACCGAACCCGGGCCTCTCTGGACCGCAGGCGGACGCTCTAACCGCTGAGCCAAACCAGCCAGGGCCTGGGGGAGGATTTAAATAAATAACCTAAGTGAGCACACGTGATTCCATCCTGACCTCAGAGGTGCTCGCTGAGGGGCCGCCACGGCTCACCTGTCAGGCGGAGTCTGTAACCCGAGCGGTAAGGTGGGGTCCCCTCAGGTCAGCCACAGGTGTGGAATGGCTGCCTGGGGCGCTGCCCTCAGTGCGAAGCAGGTGGGGTGCGTCACTCATCCTTTTTTCTGGCTGTCAAAGGTGCAGATAATTAATAAGAAGCTGGATCTTAGCAACGTCCAGTCCAAGTGTGGCTCAAAGGACAATATCAAACACGTGCCAGGAGGCGGCAGTGTGAGTACCTCACACTTTCCCTGCGGTTCTGGTTCTGAAGAAGTGGCATGAGTGTGTATCCCTGCGAGACATTGCACAGAATAAACCGTCCTGAGCTCTGGGTCGTGTGTCCCCACACCCGCGCCCACTGTTCTCGAGGGGTGACCTGCACGGGCAGCGTGGGGAATACGGCTGGTGCCCTCGCGCCCACACCTGGAGGTGGGGTCCTCACAGCATTAAGGCCCATCCTGACCCCTCTCACGGCTCAGCATAGGCTCCCAGGAGCCCCACAGTCCATGTGCGGTTGGGCTGGGGTGGCAGCATCTGGGACTGGCTCTGTCATCTCCTGCCCTGGGCAGGTCACTTTGCCTGGCTCCACTGTGGCCAGCCGGCCAGCTTGTTCTCCCTCAGAGCAAGAGAAGTCCAGTCCCTGCTCAGTGTGTCTTCTGCATTTGCAGAGGGCGAGCCGATCCCCAAGCCCCGGGCTCCACCCCCTGGCAGAGACTCAGAGGCAAAAGAGCCCAACAGAAGGGCACCAGGGGACCCGCCTGCAGCCAGGGGTTGGCAGGAGAATGCTGCTTTGGGACCTTTTAAATGTGGCTTCCTCCAAATGTCCCTGGGGACTCCCACCCCCCCCCCCACCCACCCCCGTGCATGTGTCCCTGAGATTTGGGGCTGGCATCCACACGTCCCCACTTGATCAGCTCTGCTGCCCTCCTCCCGGCTCTCCTTTTTCACCAGTGGGTGCAAACTCATCCCGAGGCTCCCCTTTCTCCACAGTCCCCTCACGCCCCAGCCTAACACACCGGGGAGCAGGAGGTCCACGATCCCGTGAGGCCCACCCCTGGGGAGATGAGGGTTTCTGAGAGCAGGCCTCTCACTCCTGGCTGGTCGCCGGGCATGGTGGTGATGGCCCCCGAGGGGCTGTCTCCCCAGAAAATGCCCAGCCTGGGCCACCCATCATCTGCATCCAGCCTGAGGGTTTATTCTTGCAATGTGCTGCTGCCTCCTGCTCTGAGCCCTCACTGGTCCCTGGGAAGTGAGCACTCACCACGGGCTCTGCATGGCGCTTCGCGACGCTTCCTCACCAGTGTCCGCTGTGTCGCCTCTGTCCCCCAGTCCCTGCTCTCTTACCGCTGCCACTTTGTCTTCTGCCCAGAGAAGGGAAGAGAAGGTGCGGGGAGCACCCACTGCTCACCCCGCCCCAGCCTGTGATCACGGGGCTGCTGTAGCTTTGCCTCCTGGTTCTCGGGCTCTGCTGCAGACGGGGCTCCAGCCGCAGGGGAAGGCATGTGCTTTCCTGGTGAACTCCGGTCTGCTCAGCTGCCGGGAGGCTGCGCAGGGCCCAGCAGCCGCAGAGGGCAGCTGGCTCCTTCAGGAGGAATTGGGAGGAGGGAGCTGGTGGCAGTTACAGGACATCAGTGGACTTCCTGAGGCACCTCCTGTCTGTCCTGCACTCCCCGCTGGCCTGTGGGTTAGCCTGTGACCTAGCAGAGAACCACAGGCTGTCCAGGGCTGGCCCCCAGCACTGCACTTGGTCCTTGGCCGAGGCTTGTTTGCAGGGGAGGCCTTTGCAGAAAATGCTTCTGGAGGAAGGAGGCTGGGGGTAGGGGTGGGAGGTTACAGCCCCTGCACAGTGTCAGCCTCAGATGTTTCGGGGCACTGGACGCCCAGCCTGGGCTTCAGCCTCTGGCTGCCCTCCCAGCTGGCAGGCCTTGCTCCTTCCCCCTCTGCCCTCCATCTGGCTCTGGGCTCCCTCCCAACCCTGGCCTGCAGTCCGCCTGACCGATCCCCTCCCGCCCTGGATCCCACCCTCACCCTTGCCTTTCCCCTCTGAGATCCCCCCTCCCCCCTCCCAGGAGCTGCCCCTTCCAGGCTGCAGGGAAGACTAGGAAGCCAGGGTCACACCACACCCCTCTCCCTCCTGCCGGGAGGAGTCCCCAAGCTCTGCCCACCTCCCCCACCTCCTGGGCACCCACCCCAGCACAGCACCCTCCCAGACTGTTCTCAGAGTGGGTCCTACCCACCGCCCTCGGGTGCAGGCTGCCAACCTGTGCACTCCCACCTCACCGCGCGCTGTGCCCGGCACACACAGCCATGTCCACCTGTCGGCCTGTCCACTCTTCGTCAACTAAGGCACGTGCCAGGGTGATTCCGATGGACTGAAATAAAGGGGGTTGTTCCAGATGACTCTCACCCACGGAGAAACCCCTCCGTCTTTTCTGGTGTCCGTGTTAAACCCGTTCTCAGGCACGAGGCCACCTCTCTTCTGGGTAAATATCTCCAGGGCAGGAGCAGAATCTACTGGGTGACCGGCCTCCTGCACCCTCTGGTGACCTGGGAAGTGTCCCTCAGTGACCCTCTGGGGACCCTCAGCCAGGGCTTGTAGAGACTTCCTCCAGGAGGCCCATCTGGCACGCAGAGCCCCTGGCGGGCGCCCCCTCCAGGGAGCTGGCTCTTGGACTGAGCTCAGCAGGCTGCACAGGGCTGCCGTCCCCCTCAAGAGCATGGACAGTGTGGCCGGGCACATGGTGGACCCTCAGCCAAGTCTGAGCCCTGGGGCCACAGGCCTTCGGCATGTGTGTGTCCGAGCCCGGCTCTGGAGCACTAGCCTGTGGGTTCTCTGGGCCACCTGCCGTCCTGCGGTCACTTTCCAGGACACTCAGCGCCAGCTGCTCTGGGTGCTGCTTGCTGGCCGCCGTTGCTCTTGCCGTGGGTGTGCTGGGGTTTCCGGAAGCTTTTCCTGGGAGAAGAAGAAAGCCCACTTCTCAACCCCGCCACCCTCTCCTCTCTGAGGCCCAGCAGATATGGTCTCTTGCTTCTCTAACAGACTTTTCAAACGCTGCGACCTTCCTCCTGTCCTCACTGAGCGTGGTCTGTGTGTCGTGTCAGGACGTGACTGTTCTGCGTGTGTGTCTAAGCAGATGGCATGGCCCTGCACCATGACAAAGGACCCTGTGGGACCAGCGCGTCTTCAGTCCCACAGTCTTTCTGTGGAGACCCGGCTCCTGGGGACAGGGTGGGCAGAATGCCAACTGCAGGTGTTTCCACCAGGACCAGGTGTGCCTCGGGCAGACAGCAAGGCCTGGGCCCGCACAGCTGCTCCTCATTGTGCTGCACCCATGATACAATAACCCGCCTCTATTCTCTGTCCGTCCCCTCACCTCCAGGTGCAAATAGTCTACAAACCAGTGGACCTGAGCAAAGTGACTTCCAAGTGTGGCTCCTTAGGCAACATCCATCATAAGCCAGGTAGCCTTTGCAGGTGGTGGGGCGGAGGCCGGGGGTGCGGGAGTGCGGGGGTGCGGGGGTGCGGGGGTGCGGGGGTGCTGGGACGCACTGATGGGATGGGCCGAGGAGAGTGCTGAGGGTGGACCGTGCCGGGGCCTGGGAGGTGGGGCTGTCCTGTCTCAGCCCTCAGGGAGGGCCGGTTCTGGTCCTGAACCGTAACCCTGCTTCTCCAAGCAGGCTGCACATGGCCTGGGCCACTACAGCTGGGGAAGGGCCTGATCTGGCCCCAAAGGCTGGCGGTATGGATGTCTCAGCTGGTCTCCAGCCAGCATGGGGGCACAAACTGCAACACGGGCCACGGCTGCGTCCCCTCTGTGACTTGGCCTGAACAGAAAAGGATGCTGTTGGCGCTCCATCCTTCCCCGCTCCTGTTCCCTCCCCATGCAGAAACCAGTGCCATCTGTGGTGCCCAGCGTGGTGGCCGCTGACCACGTGTGGCCATCGAGCACGTGGAATGCGGCTAGTACAGTTGAGAGGCTAAACTAATTTTATTTAATTAAAATTTAGGAGTACAATTACACAGTGGAATACTACTCAGCCGTAAAATAGGAGGAAATCTTACCCTTTGTGGCAGCATGGAGGGACCTGGAGAGCATTATGCTCAGTGAAACAAGCCCGTCAGAGAAAGACAAGTACCGAATGATTTCACTTATACGTGGAATCTAATGAACAAAATAAACTAACAAAATAGAAAAGCTCACAGATACAGAGAACAGACTGACAGCTGTCGGAGGGGAGGGGTTGGGGGCTGGATGGAAAAGGCGAAGGAATCACGTAATTTATTTATTTATTTATTTATTTATTTATTTATTTATTTATTTTTTTGCACAGATAGAGTGGGAGGGAGAGAGAGGAAGAGAGAGAGAGAGAGGGAAACATCGATGTGAAAGGGACACATCGAGTGGCTGCCACCCGCACGACCAACCAGGGCCGGGGACAAACTGCAACCGAGGTACATGCCCTTAGCGGGAACCGAACCCGGGTCTCTCCGAACCGCAGGCGGATGCTCTAACCGCTGAGCCAAACCGGCCAGGGCTCACGTAATATATTTAATACACAGACAACAGTATAGCGACAGCAGAGGGAAGGAGTGGGGGAGGCAGAAGTGGACGGGGGGCAAATGGGGTTGGAAAGAGACTTGACTTCAGGCGAGGAGCACACGGTGCAGTGTGCACATGTTTTATTCCGTTGTGCTCTTGAAAACTTCAAGGTTTTATGAACCAATGTCACCCCCAATAAATTCAATTTTTAAAAAGTTTTTAAAAAATGTAAGTGGCCACATGTGGCTGGTGGTGACCACGTTGGACAACGTAGATCTAGATTCCCACTCCCGCCTGGGAGTCCGGCAGGGACTCCTGGCCTCGTCAGGCCCTGGGGCAGAGGTTGTCACTGGACCATTACTGGAAAAACAAGGCCGTCAGAGGCCTCGTCCGGAATGTCTCAGTATTTTCGGCTCCGTGGGAGTGTTGTGGGAGTTTAGTCTCCCGGGGAAAACCACCCTCCACTGGCGTTGCCATCCTACCCCACTGTGAGCAGCTTTCTTAGGGGGCTTTGTCCTACCCAAAAAAGTAACATACGGTTGGCCCTCGAACAACACGGGGTTCAGGTGCTGGCCCCTGTGCAGTCAGAAAGCTGTGTGTGACTCTGACTCCCCCAGAACTTAGTCACTAATGGCCCACGATTGCCCGGAAACGTTGCCGGTAACAGTTAGTTGATTAACACCCATTTTGTATGTTATGTGTTAAATACTGTATTATTACAATAAAGTGAACAAGAGAAAAGAAAATGTTACTAAGGAAATAATAAGGAATAGATACAATGTTTACTGAAGAGTCTGCGGACCTGCGCAGCTCAAACCTGTGTTGTTCAAGGTCAGCTGTTGGCTCTTCCTCCCTCTGACCTCCGGGGGCACTGAGCTCTGAGGGGGCAGAGGGGGCAGGGCCTTCTTTATCAGGTTGCATGTTGCCCTTTAGTTTAACTCCAAGGCCCAATGGGGCTGCCGCTTACAGGCTGTTGACACGGAGACCTCACTCTCTGGAAGCAACCGATTTGGCATTGAGAGTATTTTCGCCCAGACAGGGCTGCCGTTTACCTTTGCGTTATCCAAGGAGGAAGAGTTTTCTGAGTAAATATTGGATGCATACCTTGATTCGAGAGATGAAGCCAACTGTTCTCAAGCCCTTTTGGACTGACTGTGCCCAAGCCACATTCTGAGCAAAGGGGCGTCCTCACTGTGCCCAAGGCAGGGTCTGCCCGGACCCCTCTCGGGCCGCACTGAGGCTCTGTGCTGTGTTCCAGGCGGCGGCCAGGTGGAAGTCAAATCTGAGAAGCTGGACTTCAAGGACAGAGTCCAGTCGAAGATTGGGTCCCTGGATAATATCACCCACGTCCCTGGCGGAGGGAATAAAAAGGTAGGGGCAGGGCCCGGAGGAGGCCGCGTCTGGGTGGCTGCGCACTGAGTCGGGTGGACGAGGCTGGTCCAGGTTTCCAGGGGAGGAAAGCAGAAGGCCCCGCAGGGACTGGCTTGATGTGGGTTCCCAGCAGCCTCCAGGACTGGGGGGCTCCGCCTTAGCTGCCCTGCAGCCACCTGGGAGCTAGAACAGCTTCCATGCCCACGCCCCACCCTGGAAATTCCGACTGGTCTCAGGTGTGGTCTGGACACCTGGAGTTTTTAAAGGCCAGGTGGTTCTTTAGTGCAAAGGTGAGAGCCACGGCCCTCGGTCCCATGGTTGGCAGACACCCACGAAAGGAAGCAGCCCTCCCAAAGCCTGCCCGAGAACCAGTCACGGGAACATAACCTCATTTCTAAATGGGTCACCAGGCAGTTAGAGCACAGTGAGGCTGAAATGCAGACTTCAGCAGAGCCTCGCCTGAGTGTCCACAAGGAGGCTACTGGACCACGGGCCTTGGTGCTCCCGGCAGTGTCCAGTCTCTGGGTCTCGCTGTGGGTGTCTGTAAGCATGGGGTAGGGGCACCAGGGTGTGTGGCCCTGAGCAGGATGTGGTCATGTGACTGTCCTTTCCTCTCTGTATCAGTGGGGTTTCTCAGCCAGGCCAGCCCTGAGGTTCTGAGCGGCTCACCCTTCAGTCTCTCGTCTCCTGTGACTGCCTGAGGAGTGGCAGAGGACAGAGGAGATCCCAGAATGGGCACAGAATCGGAGACCCAACCCAGTGTAAAAGGGCCCTGCCCAAGGTGGCCCAGCTGGTTGGGAGTGGCGGCAGGGCCGTCTTTCTGTCACACCCCTTGGTGGCAGCAGCCGGGAGTCCCCTGGCAAACCACTGTGCCTCCCCAACCCCTCCAGCAGGCAGCCTGCTCACCACCTCAGATTCTGACCCGAGAAGCACTTGATGGATGGTCTGAAAGCTGAGGTGAAGACCTGAGACCTGGGGGCAGAGCTAATCCCCAGACAGAGACCCTCAAAGGCTGAGGGGAGGACAGAGCCTGGGCCTTGGTGAAGGAAGGTCTCGGCTCTTGTTTTGGAAGCTTGTGTTCTAAGACGAGCTCTGGGCTGGGCTCTGCCTGGAGGTGTGGCCTGGGCCAGCTCAGCCTGTGTCTCCTTCAGCAACATGGATGGAAAGACCCGCACCCCAGGTGTCAGAGGCCCAGTGGGACGGTGCTCTGGAAGGTGCCTGGACCTCATGGTCATCTAAGAGCACGCGTGGGAGTCCAGTCTGAGGCTGAGCTTCTGTTTTAACTAATCGCTCCGAGATGGCTCGGAGTAGGCCTTGCCCTGCCCAGACCACACTCAGAAGACTACCCTGTCCTGGTCCCAGTGGGTCCCCTCGTAGTCAGTCCCCCATTTCCTCCTGCGATGAGCAAAATTGCTAACAAGCATGAGAGCACAGGACAGCTTGCATCCCTGCTAAGTTCCTTTAGTTTGGGGGTATAGGGGACATTCCCAGGACCCTGTCACTTTTTTTCTTAAAAACAAAACTTTTAGCCTGGTCGGTGTGACTCAGTGGTTGAATGTCGACCCATGCACCAAAAGGTCGTCAGTTCGATTCCCAGTCAGGGCACATGCCCAGGTTGTGGGCCAGATCCCCGGGGGGGGGCATGCAGGAGGCAGCCAGTCGATGTTCTCTCTCATCGATATTTCTATCTCCGTCTCCCTTCCTCTTTCTCTAAAATCAATAAAGAAAAAAAATTTTTTAAAGGTTTTAAAAAACATCAACATGAATGTTCTTATCAAAGTTTATGTCAAAAATGCCTTTCAAATACCGAAATAAGGAAGAGTCCTTTTGTCAAAGCAATGGCAAATGAACAAAATAAGCATATACAGGGTGTACCCAAAAATGTATATACAACTTGGAATATTTATAAAGCCAGTGTTTATGAAAATACTTTCATTTTCAAAATGTATTAGAATCTACACCCTGTATACATTGTGGGGCACTTAAGCCATATGTCTATGTCTATGTCTATGTCTGTGATGTCTATGTCTATGTCTATGTCTATGTCTATGTCTATGTCTATGTCTATGTCTGTGATGTCTATGTCTGTGATGTCTATGTCTATGTCTATGTGATGTCTATGTCTATGCCTATGTCTATGTCTGTCTATGTCTATGTCTATGTCTATGTCTATGTCTATCTATGTCTATGTGAATGTCTATGTGAATGTCTATGTGAATGTGAATGTCTATGTGAATGTGAATGTCTATGTCTATGTCTCTATGTCTATGTCTTAAATGAAAGCCTGGTTTTTCTCTATGGCACACACCAGCCCACTGCGGTAGAGGCAGTCCACGGACTCCTAAAATTGAATTGAAAAACTGTGTGTGTGTGTTTTATGGTTTCACCAGACACTCAGAGAGGTCTCAGGACCCCCAAAGGCTGAGAATTACTGTGTCCAGCACTTCAGGGCTTACCAGGAGAGATTACTTTGTAGTATTTGCCTTCTGAGTTTCCCTGGTACCCTTTAGCGATCAGCCCTCCAAGGCTCCAGACTCTCATTGTTTCTCTACTTTTATTTCTTTAAAAAATTTTTTTCACCCTGGCCAGTTTGGTTCAGCGGTTGGAGCATCCTCCTATGGACCAGATAGTCCTGTGTTCGGTTCCTGCTAGGGGCACATACCAAAAAAAAAAAATTTTTTTTTCCTTTATTGATTTTAGAGAGGGTGGAGGGGAAAAAGAGATAGAAACATCGATGAGAGAGAACATTGATTGGCCGCAACCTGCATGTCCCCCATGGGAGATGGGGCCCACAACCTGGGCATGTGTCCTGACCGGGAATTGAGCCAGTGACCTTTGGTGCCTGGTACATCTGCTCAACCACGGACCACACTGGCCAGGCCATATAGTTCTCATATCCTCACTCACACCCTAGTGCGGAGTATCTCCGTAAGGGTCCACAAGAAACTTCCAGTGGTCACTGCCCCTGGAGAGGGAGCCAGGGTAGGGCGCCTGTGAGAGACAACCCTGCACAAGGGTTCGCTGTTGGAAAGCGGTGAGAACCACGTCCCTACACTGCACCAGACCCCCCCCCCCCGCAAGGTAGGCGGGGCCTGCCCTCCGTTCCCACACTGCCCCGGCCCCTCCCCCCCAGGTAGGCAGGGTCTGCCCTCCGTTCCCACACTGCCCCCGCCCCTCCCCCCCAGGTAGGCAGGGCCTGCCTTCCCTTCCCACACTGCCCTGGCCCCTCCCCCCCAGGTAGGCAGGGCCTGCCCTCTGTTCCCACACTGCCCCGGCCCCTCCCCCCAGGTAGGCAGGGCCTGCCCTCCGTTCCCATACTGCACCGGCTCCTCCCCCTGGGCCAGGTAGGCGGGGCCTGCCCTCCGTTCCCACACTGCCCCGGCCCCTCCCCCCCCAGGTAGGCAGGGCCTGCCTTCCGTTCCCACACTGCCCCGGCCCCTCCCCCCCAGGTAGGCAGGGCCTGCCCTCTGTTCCCACACTGCCCCGGCCCCTCCCCCCAGGTAGGCAGGGCCTGCCCTCCGTTCCCACACTGCACCGGCTCCTCCCCCCGGGCCAGGTAGGCGGGGCCTGCCCTCCGTTCCCACACTGCCCCGGCCCCTCCCCCCCCGGTAGGCAGGGCCTGCCCTCTGTTCCCACACTGCCCCGGCCCCTCCCCCCAGGTAGGCAGGGCCTGCCCTCCGTTCCCACACTGCACCGGCTCCTCCCCCTGGGCCAGGTAGGCGGGGCCTGCCCTCCGTTCCCACACTGCCCCGGCCCCTCCCCCCCAGGTAGGCAGGGCCTGCCCTCTGTTCCCACACTGCCCCGGCCCCTCCCCCCGGGCCAGGTAGGCAGGGCCTGCCCTCCGTTCCCACACTGCACCGGCTCCTCCCCCCGGGCCAGGTAGGCAGGGCCTGCCCTCCGTTCCCACACTGCACCGGCTCCTCCCCCCGGGCCAGGTAGGCGGGGCCTGCCCTCCGTTCCCACACTGCCCCGGCCCCTCCCCCCCAGGTAGGCAGGACTTCTCCTCGGTTCCCACACTGCCCCGGCCCCTCCCCCCCAGGTAGGCAGGACTTCTCCTCGGTTCCCCGCTCTTCACCTCAGCCTCCCTCCCTCCTCTCTCAGATCGAAACCCACAAGCTGACCTTCCGTGAGAACGCCAAAGCCAAGACGGACCACGGGGCGGAGATCGTGTACAAGTCGCCCGTGGTGTCCGGGGACACGTCTCCGCGGCACCTCAGCAACGTGTCCTCGACGGGCAGCATCGACATGGTGGACTCGCCCCAGCTGGCCACGCTCGCCGACGAGGTGTCCGCCTCCCTGGCCAAGCAGGGTTTGTGATCAGGCCCCCGGGGCGGTCAATAATCGTGGAGAGAAGAGAGTGAGAGTGTGGAAAAAAAAAGAATAATGACCTGGCCCCTCGCCCTCCGCCCTCCCCAGCTGCTCCTCACAGATCGGAATCGGGTCATCACTTAACCTGCTTCTGTCGCTGGGCTCTGGCTCGGGACTTCAAAATCAGTGATGGGGATACGAGCAAATTTCCTCCTTCCAAATTGACGGGTGGGCCAGAAATAATAAAATATTTTTAAAACACGTAAAGATGGCCACACCCAACATTTCCTTGGGCAGTTACGTTTGATTCTTTTTTTTTCCCCTCTGAGGAGAAGAGGGAGACGGACAGGCTCTGAAAGGTGCTTCTGGGGAGTTTCAAGGGACTGGGGATGTCACAGAGGCTGTGGCAACAAAACAGGATTGGGTACCTGGTGTGCTGGTGTGAGCGGGGCAGGTGGGGGGGGGAGACGGGAGAGGCCGAGGCTGGGGGTGGGAGGGGGGGCTGGGGGAAGAACTTGGAGGGGAGGAGAGCTGCTCCCTGCATGGAAGGGCAGAGGGAGGGCGGGCAGCCTCCCCTCGGACCAAGTGGCCTCCTGTGGTTGGTGGCCCGGGTCTGCTGCAGCGGGACACCTTGAGGGCAGCCTGTGGGAGAAGGGCAGGGGAAGGTTGGCTGGGGGGAGGGTGGCAGCCTGTGGGTTACTTCCTCAGAGGAGAGCGACCTTGAAGTCCAGAGTGCTGGCCTCTCCCCCACCCAGGAGCATGTCCTGACCTGAGGGGCCGCCCACCCCATGCCAACCCTGTCTGTTGAGTTCTGAAGATTGGAAGTGCAGCCACGATTTTGGCCACCTCACTGATCTGGGACTTTAGGGCTAACCAGTTCTCTTGTAAGGACTTGTGCCTCTTGGGGGACACCCGCCTGTTCCCAAGCCTGGGCCGCTGGCATCTCTAGAGTGTGCGGGGGGTCTGGGAGGGGGTTCTGAGCCTCCTGTTCCTCCCACCCCACTGCAGCCACCTGTCTGCCCCTGCCACACCCTATGTCTGCTGTGTGGAGCCCAGTCACTGCCTGTACCCCTCATTACGTCCCACTGTCCCCAGCCTCACCCTCAGTTAATTCACATTGTTTGGATGTTGGAGGCACCTACTCTAAACTAAGGGGTGAAATCAAGGGAAGGCAAAGTCTGGGCACAAGGTGGGACCTCAGTCACTAGGTGTAAGTTACACTCATCCAACTGGCATGTGTCCCTCCCGCTGAACCCGATGACCTGACCTCCTATCCAGATGTGGGGCTCGCAGTGACCCTGGATGTTGACTGGAGAGCCTTTTCCTCCCAGAAGGCCTGGCCCCTGCCTGTGTCGAGCCGGCAGCAGGTTGGGTGTCCTGATTGCTGGAGATGGCACCAGGGTAGCTGGGCCCTGGGGAGGGACCACATTCCCTCTGTCCCCCACTTCTGCCCCAGCCTGTGACTGCCAGCCTCTCAGAGAGCCCCATGTGCATATAATCAGCCCTCCACACCCCCACAAGGGGGACACGCCCGCTCGGAAATGGTTCTCCCCATCCCAGCCGGAAGCAACATGGTCTGTCCCGCTGGAGCAGCTGGACATATACATAGACGTCACCTTCCCTGCCCTCTGCACCCTGTCTCGTTGTCGTCAGATTTGTGTTTATGCTTGGATTCACCAGAGTGACTATGATAATGAAAAGAAGAAAAAATAAGGACGCATGTATCTTGAAATGCTTGTGAAGAGGTTTCTAACCCACCCTCATGGGGGTCCTAGATCTCTCTCACCCCCACGCGGGGACTCGCTCCAGGCCAGTGTGGCTCTATCCTGTTGGGACCTCCCAACGTTTGAAAGGCTTGCTTCTTCATCTGACACCTCGCTGGAAGAAGGCCCGACGCACAGGACGAGGATGAAGAAAGCTGGGTGCCCCCTCCACTCCCGGGGCTCCCCTTGGTCAGGGCAGAGCTGTGTCTTGGGCTGGCTTGGCTTGCAGCATGAAAATGCCCTCTGGCCAGGGCCTGGAGAAGCCCCACAGCAGCCCTGCATCATGAGCAAGATGGAGCCAGTGCCCACAGGGGGAGGTCCCCCTCCAACTCTCCCTCGGGAAGGGCAGCTCAGGCCTCCCCAAGGGCCCGGCAGCCACAGCTGCCTGAGGAAGAACGACTAGTCAGAAGACACTGTTCCCAAAGCCTTGGCCAGAGCCCCCGCTGACCTTGCACAAATCCCTCTGCTGTCTCGGAGAAAGGGAAGCAGCCTTTGTGGAAAGTTTATGCTTAAAGAAATTCAGCAGCCTCATGCCCAGTTCTGCCACTTCCGGTTTAGATAGTTGAAGGCAACCCAGGGGTGGGGGTGGGGGTAGGAGACCAGGGCCTTTCCTCTAGGGCTGGAGGCTTCATTTGCAGTCAGTTTTTGGCCCCAAATTCTCCACTTGGAGGCTTCCCACTGTCCTGAGTCCCAGCTGTTCTTAGAGTTCTGAGAAAGAAAAAGGAAATGTGGTTTAAAGATCTGGTAGCTGTTAGAGACGTGGCCTCTCATTGTCACCACCAGTTGTGGCTGCATTTCTTCCTCCATCTCTTCTGACGTCCTCTTCCTGCAGTTCCCGTGGCCTGTTCTCTGATACCTGACTCCAAGGGCCCTGGAATCTCCCTGGCAGGGTGGGCTACTGGGGTCAGCCTCAGAGTCACGGTTTAGGGTCAGTGCTGGCCGTGAGAGGCAAAGGGATGCTGGCTTGTGACCTTAAATGAGGACAATCCCCGCAGGACTGGGTTCTCCCCACCCCCATTCCCCTCTCCAGTCACTGTCCCTCGGGTGGACTAGTTATGCTCTACGCCTGGTTCCCTCAAGCTGTCCACTCTATCAGTAGTTCCATTTAACCTGACTTCAGTGGTGAGACTGTAACCTGTTTGCGATTGCTTGTTGTGCTGTAGGGGTTGGGGAGGGAGGAACCTGTAAGATAGTTACCATGGGCAAAGGGACGTCTTGGAGTGCAGCAGTTAAACCACCTCGTAACCCTTTTCTTCACGGTTTCAACCACATTTGATAGAGGTTCTTGGGCGTTGCCTTCTCAGACAAGATTCCCAGTGCAGCAGGCTGCCTGCCAGCTGCTTCCCATGGCCTTCCCAGCCAGGTGCAGGTGATGAGGCTGGTGGAAGAATCTGGAGATGGCTGCTCTGGTCTCTTGCCAGGTCCCAAGCCCACAATCATGCCTCCCATAGACCCTGGCAACCTTTCCTCTAAGCCGTGTGTCACTTTCCCACCGACTCTGGACACGCAGTCTGTATCTAGCAGCCGCTAAGATCTTTTTCCTTTACCCTCTTTTATCTTTGACCCCCAGATAAAGCCAAGAGGTGGGGATGAGGGCAGAGGTGGAGATCACTGGGTCCCATCTACAGATCCATGGCTTCATGGGACTTCTGGTTGCTCCTGTTTCGAAAAGGGTTATCCTGGTTACTGACCCGGTCTCACCTCCTAATGGACTTAAGCCCATGAATTTGCAGTGTCTGGCAGGACAATTTCTGGCACTTGCAAGTCCCGTGATTTTTTTCAGTAATTTTGAGGGTGGGGGGAGGGACATGAAACCATCTTAGCTTAGCTTCCTGTCTGTGAATGTCCATATGGTGTATTGTGTGTTTTAACAAATGATTTACACTGACTGTTGCTGTAAAAGTGAATTTGGAAATAAAGTTATTACTGATTAAATAAGGTCTCTGCATGAATTCAAAAGACAAGAAAATGACATGGGATGCGTGATTTTCAAGTCCTTTCCCAATCTTGGAGAACTTAGCTCAGAACAGGGCACATATAGCTACAACTGGGACATGAGGATTTACCAGCTCTCTCTGGGACTCTCAGCTTCTCATTTTCAGCAGACCGTCTCATTCTGGTGCTTACTTGCAAACAGTTCTGGGCAATACCTGTACCGTATTTTAAAACCTGAGAAGACTGAGGTTTGGTGCAGATCTTCTCACTCCTGGAAAGGAGCCCCGAGGCCTGGGGCTGAAGAACACAGTCAGCTGAAGGAATGGGGAGGCTCCCTTCCAGGCTCACACAGCTGCCTTCCTGTCCTCGGGAGCAGTATGGGGGAACAGGTCTGCTAAATCAAGACAGGGACACTGGCCACCCCCTAGCAGTGTCACAAAGGGAAACAATAAAACAACATATTATTCCTTAATAATCAGTTCAAGGTCTTAACACTGAACCCTTAGATTTTCCAAGTTTCAAAGTATGACTTTTCTCAGCTTTTCCTTGGCCACTGCAGACTGAAGCTTAAGTAGAGATCCTAACTAACCACAGGAACAGCAACAGGGTAGCCAGAGAAACACTACCTCAGAACTGCCGCTTTCATGGCCAGGATAGGCAGCCCCATTGGCTGTTTCAACTTGACTGCCATGAAAAGGAAAAAAAAAAGATTCAAGAACCAGGCCCACTCACTCACTCATCTTGTAAATCCGGCACCTGGCCTCCTCACAAGCTACTACAGTCTCAGGTAGTGGTGAGAAGTGTCTTCTCACTGGCTCCAACCCCAGAAAAGGTCAATAGTGAAAAGTGAACTCTCCACTAAAGAGCAGTTTGGAACAGAAATAAATGTCATTCTGCTGGCCTCACTAGAGAAAGGAACATCGAGAGGCAATGGTCTATTGCTTATCCAACAGAAAGAAAAAGTAGATGATCTCCATAGAACCCCTCTGCCCTCGGCACCCTTTCCTCTTCCCACTCATAGAAGCAGCCACATCTCCTCCTTCCTGGTGACCATAAGATGACCCTTTGAGGTGCCCATAAGACAGAATGGAGAGGTCACAAGGTTCAGATTAAGTGGGATGACACCAGAAAACTGTGCCAGCAGGGCCAGTTTCTAAGTTGCCACCATTACCATGTCCAATTGTCAAGAAAAGCCCAGCACGCAACATTCTGTAACTTTTTTTTATTATTTTTTTCACTTTTTCCTTCCTTTTTTTTTTTTCAAGCACTAGTCTGTGCTTTGCGAACAGAATCAAGACATTAACAAAGATCAGCTTCTCTGAAGAAAAGCATTTCTATAGAACAAAGACAGCTACATGTTTTGCTGCCAATACACAGCTCAAAGCAGAAAAAGAAAATATTTACAAAATACGTTTTTTTCCATTTTTGTTTTTTTTTTTTACAATGCTAAAAGGGTTATTCAGAATTTTCAACCTTATAAATAGAAGAAGCACTTTATGCATAGGGATATGGTGCATTATTGTTTTTTAAAGAAACAATGACAAACCCTTTAACTTGCAAACAGAATCAAAAAAAAAAAAAAAAAAATCACTAATGTTGAAAATTGTGAAAAAACCCCAACCATTAAGCAGCTTGTCTACTATTTTTATATGATTACAAAATGGCAAAAAAAAAAAAAAAAAAAAAAAGTTATTGCCCTCTTTTTGGTAATGTGATCATACATGAGACAGGCACA